AGAAAGTATGAAAATCAACCATCATGCAATCCACGAAACCTGCTGCTACATCTTACCACAGAATGTACGAAACCAACCATTCATCCAACTATGGAACTCATTAAATTTACAAATACAGATGTGCATATATTCTTTTCGGATTTTCGAAAATCAGTTTCTAAGCTTACCACATAACTCATAAAATCATCTATTACATTTAACTCATACCTCACAAAACTAGCTACTAATTTTAACTCCTAATTCCCAAAACTAGCTACTAATTTTAACCCATAAGTTATAAAACTAGCTACTAAGTTTAACTCATAACATATAAAACTCCCCTTTCATTCTATTTATTAACTTTTGCTGATTTTTCATAAAAGAAATTTAGGTGACAAATTTCTTCATGAATCCATGAAAAAACAGTAGCCATTTTAGCTCATTGAGTAGTATGCATTTCTAGTGAGCTTTGGAATATCCCACTGCCGGGCCCCTCAACAGACCCCGGGGCCCCTGCCCCTTTCCCCCCTCTCGTCAGCCCTGGTTACTGAGCTTATCCCATAACTCACAAAACTAGCTATTAAACTTAACTCACAAAACAGAAAATTAGTTATTAATTTTAACTCATAAATCACCTACTAAACTTACAACATCATTCATATAACTACATTCTAGACTTACCAGCACAATTCACCAAACCATCTACTGTAACTCATCATAAAATGCTCATCTTGCAACAGTCATTCTTACAATGAAAACCACATGGATATGATTATTTCTCCTTCTATTCATAGTTTTGAATCAGAATCGTTTACGCTAAACCATACTTACACTTGGCGAAGTTGAGGAAGATGACGAAAGATGTCCTTTTCTAAAACGATGATATCTGACGTCTTCATGATACTATACATGAAAATGTCCAGTTGAAATGACGATTTAGATAAAACATAGCTGAAGTTACGTTTAGAGTGATAAAGCTAAAGCTATAATACGTTAAAGATAAAGAGGATGGTTATCATATTAAACTCACCAATGTTAAATCAAAGAAACAATAAACAAAAGGAAACATGTCGAAGTAGATCATGTTACATTAGGATTCCATCTACTTTAGACTTTTTTTAGGGATGACCATAAGAAGCAACTTTTATCCGTTTTAGAAGTAACGGAACGAAATACACTTATTAGATGTACCATAGATTTTTAAGTTTGATTCTTATCTAATTTAAATGTAAGACATGGCAATGAAAAACAAAACCTACTGAACAATATCAACAAAACTGTAGAAACGTCGGTTGCCTGGGTTAGAGGACTTTAAAATGGGGTCGTATAATCAAATCAAATTATTAGGTCGTGAAGAAATTAATGTCGCTTTCTTTTAGACGAAAAAAAACCGAACAACTTATACATCAAAACAAAACATTTATTAAATGAAATAGTCTCCA